CCCCCAAAACCCCAAAACCCCATGCATTAAAATATGTCATTGTATGAAAAATATAAAATATAAATAATCTTATTCACTTTATCTATCACATATTTAGAAGTTTAAACCTCAAAATTTAGTAATCAAGCAATAAAAATCTTAGAAATTGCAACTACATAAATGGTCTATAAATTAATTGCAAGATTTTCACATCCAAAAAATTATTAATGTTCCTCTGTATTTCAATTGAAATCTTTTAAATTCCTATGAACTAATATAGTATGAAGTAACTCTTTTATCTCTCAAATTGCAATGCAATCTTATCTTACATAAGCTGATCACTATACCCAAAATCTTAACGAATTTAATACTTCAAAGAAATTGACATATCTAGTTTATGAAATTAGGATGCTGTTCCTAGTTTAAATTAGAAGTTAATATAGTAAAATCAATTATATTATCATCCATAAACTGTTTATCTCTGATTATTTTAAATAAATATCATCCTTATCTAAAATATTTTTCTCTTTCATTTTCAAATAAACCTACAAAGTAATAATTTTACAATTAATATGAATATTTGTTAGAATCAAATAGCAAAATAAGGTCAGGATAACTAAAGTATCAATGGCCAAATAAAATCATCAATCATAGAGGAATATGAGGATTATGATCAAATGTATGATAGTTATTTCATTTCGAACGTTTGCAATGAAAAACAAAACATAAATTCATTGCTTAATGATAACAGTGAAGGGCAGTTTGAAGAGCAGCAGTTGTTTGACATTTTTAAAAATAATTTAAGGATCAATGGATCAACTTCAGGATAAAAAACAAGAAAATAAAGCATCTAAAGCTATATTGATGAATAAGGTTCATCATTAAATGAGGAATAAGAAACAAGTCAAACTGCGGAGAAGGAGAATTTCTTAGATGATGAAAAGAGTAGCTGTTAATAAATATAATAGAAACATGCAGACTTCAATTTCCTTAAATAAGATCTGGAAAATGCTTTTCAAAATAAAATAGACAGTTTGAAAAGCAGCAATATCGATAAATAAAATACATCGAAATCACATAGAAATTAGATTAAAACCAAAGAATAGTATCACTTTCTAGAATCTAACTTCATCAAACATCAGCGTTGGACAAAGGAGAGAATTAGAGAGATATCTTTATAAACAGGGCTAGCTTTCTCATAAATATACAAATGGAATTGGGACAGAAGAATGGCCTTAAAATTATATCACGAACAAGATAAATACTGTGACAGTAGGTATATAAAAATATTTGAAGTCAAGAAATGCTTAATGCGAAAATAAGTTGTATCATAAGAAAGAGATCATCAAAATATAGGTGATTTTAATGATTAGTACAAAATTTTCAACACAAGGAAAATTTGAGACAAAATTAATTTTTAGATATGATTTGAAATAGTTCTCAATTTATAAGCTAATAAACTAAACTTAAAAATTATAGCTATTAAGTTATTTTATTGCTAGTACTTTCATTAAAAAATTGATTAAATAGTCTTTAAATAAATTTCACTTTAATTCAGTATAATACATAGCAATTTTTCCCCTCAAGGGGTTTTGGGGTTTTGGGG